AAAGAGAGAGAGAGAGAGAGAGAGAGAGAGAGAGAGAGAGAGAGAGAAAAGAGGCTGGGGATACAGTTCAGTGTAAAGTCCTGGGTTGAATTCCTAGAACCACACAAAAACTAGCTGGGTATGGTGGTAGACACCTATAATCCCAGGATGCCTGTAATCCCAGCACTCAGAAGGCTGAAGCAGGAGGATTTCCAGGAGGATAGCCTGGGCTACATAGTATAAGGCCAGCTCACACTACAAAGGGAGACACTGTCTCAAAAAAGAAAAAAAAAAAAAAAAAGTGAAAGGGGGATGAGGAAAAGAGAAAAAGGAAGGAAGGAGGGAAGGAAGGAAAGGGGTCTGGGGTATAGTTTGGTGACAGGACAGTGCCTAGCAGATGTGAGGGCTTGCACTTAATTCTCAGAACTGGTGGGTGGGGGGTGGGAAGAGTGAGTCACTGTTAGTTGTTTTTTAGTGTGGTGGTTTATGCCTATAATCCCAGCACCCGGGAGGCTGAAGCAGGAAGATATGTGTTGCAGACCAGCTTGCGCTATGTAGTGAGTTCCAGGTCAGCCTGTTTCAAAAAAAAAAAAAAAAAAAAAAAAAAAAAAAAAAAAAAAAAAAAAAAAAAAAAAAAAAAAAAAAAAAAAAAAAGAAAACCCAGAGCAGAAATGGTCAACATTAGGAACATCGATAAGGCATGATCTATTCAATGGAATAGAGTACAGTTGTGGGGAAAAGGAACGCTAGTTGGGCGTGGTGGCCCACGTCTGCAGGCTCAGCTACTTGGGAGCCAGGAGTCTGGGAGGTCAGCCTGGGTAGCACAGAGAAACCCTACCTCCAAAACTAGATAGCCCGCAGAAGTACTGACGTGTGTCATGACACAGCGAATCTCCCAGAAATGATGTTGATGAATAGGGGGTGTAGAAGTGTGGGATTTCCTTTCTGTTATTGCTTTTTTTAAATTTTTTTTTTACTGAGGATTGAAACTAGGGTCTTTGCACTGAGCTACATCCTGGCCCTTTTTTATTTTTCATGCCAAGAGACAGCCTCACTAAGTCGCTGAGTTGCCCAGGCTGGCCTCAAACTTGTGGTCCTCCTGTTTCAGCCTCCCAGGCTGCTCCAGCACACCAGGTCGTGATGCCGGTTTTGTGCCACTTGGTCTGGGTGGGCACTGGGTTTCTTCCATATGTTTCTGCACTTGATTCTTTAGTGCAGATGTTATTAATTCAGGGATTTCTTTTTTCATTTCCAATCTGAGGTCTTCTATATCTTTCTGCAGCTGTTTTATTTCAGAAGCGGTTGATTCATTGCTTTCAGCTGTGTGATTTCCAATTTGTTCTGTGTTAGTGTCCTCTGCACTTGTTATGGGTGGGCTTGGGTTCTGAGGTTGCATTTTGTTCCTTCTCGTCATTTTGTGTAGCACTGTCTTCTGCCCTTTGTTGTAGATCTTTGCTGTAGTTATAACCTTCACACGTACTGAAGTTCAGGTGGAGCTCTACAGATTTTGGAGTTATCCAGCTGCGTCTGGCTTAGGTATGGCTGCTGTGCTCAGCTCCTTCCCGCTGCGGACCTGGGCTAGGACTGGGTCTGGGGGTTCCTGGAACTTGGCAGAAATTCCTACTGGGCGGGAGGGGTGGGGCAGGTAAGGTGGAGTGGTGGGGGGCGGCCCGAGGGGGTGGGAGAGGGTCTGGCCCATGCTGCGCCTGGGCTGGGACTGGTCCCGCCGGCGCAGGGTAGCAGGAAGCTCTCCACACACTCACCGGACCTGGGCTAGGACTGGGTCTGGGGGTTCCCGGAAGTCGGCCTTGTGCCACTTGGGAACACGCAGAACTAAGGATGGATGGAGATAGAAGTCAGAATAGAGGCGGTCCCTTGGGGCAGTGTTGTCTGGAAAGGGACACAGAGGGACATGCAGCGTGCGGGGTGGTTCTCTCTTGGTGTATAGGCACGCAGGCTTATTGTTGCATTCTACCCTGAAGGTCAGCACACATCACGTACTTTACAGTACCCGACATACTGCAGTTCAGTGGATTCTAGGGTCGGTTAAGGGGAACCCAATGAACCACCTCCCAAAATACTTTCCTTGACCAAAAGGTGCAACGTTACATCAGATATACCAAGGCATGGATGTTATGTAGCTTCTGAAAGTTTATCCCAAAACAGTGAGACTCTTTAGAACTTGGAAAAACAAAAGCATACTTAAGCAAAGTTGTTGATATTGTATTTCCTGATGCATTGCGATAGTTTCTTTTAAAAATTTCGGTAACAGATTCCTTTTTAGTGAGTTGGTCTTTTCATTGAAAAGGTTATCACGACCTAGACAAAGGCATTCTCCAGATAATCCTTTAGAATTTCTGTTACCAGGCAGGGGTGTAGCTCAGTAGTGGGGTTTGTACTTAGCCTGCGGGAGGCCTTGGGTTAAGTCCCCTGCACATCATCTATACTGAAAGGAGTGCAGCGGGACACAGCGGAGGGCTCCCTGGTGTCTTGGTGTACCCCAGGGAGAAACAGCAGCAAGAATGCAAAAAGAAAGGGAGTTTAAGGGGGGGTGTGTTGGTGCACCCCTGTAATCCCAGCACTCAGAAGGCTGAGGCAGGAGGATCACTGCGAGTTAGACACCAGCCTGGATTACAAAGTGAGCTCAAGGCCAGCTTGAACTGCATAGCAAGACCCTGTCTCAAAGAGACAAAAAGAAAAAGAAAAAAGAAAAACAAAAGAAAGAAAAGAAAAAGTTTCTACTCACCAAGTGTCTGAAAGGAGCTGACCAAAGGG